CACGGACGTCCTTGAGGACAGACAGGAGGGCCTTGAGTGTTTTGCTGCTGCTTCACCTCATCTCGTGTCCATGCTGCTTGCCCCTGAGGGAGACCCGGATGCACTAGACATCCCGACCCCGCGCTCTTACGCAGAGGCGATAGAGGGTCCCTACTCCTCTCAGTGGCAGGCAGCCATGGACGCAGAGATGGCTTCCTGGAAGTCCACAGGCACCTACGTAGATGAGGTTCCCCCACCTGGGACGAACATCGTCAGTGGCATGTGGATCTTCAGGGTGAAGCGGCCGCCGGGTTCTCCGCCTGCCTTCAAGGCGCGTTACGTTGCACGTGGCTTCAGTCAGCGACAGGGAGTTGACTTCTTTCAAACCTTCTCCCCTACCCCGAAGATGACCACTCTTCGGGTACTGCTGCACGTTGCTGCTCAGCGTGACTACGAGCTCCACTCGCTTGACTTCAGCACAGCCTTCCTACAGGGCAGCCTGCACGAGGAGATCTGGCTGCGCCGCCCACCTGGCTTCACTGGGTCGTTTCCTACTGGTACCCAGTGGAGCCTCCGGCGGCCAGTCTACGGTCTCCGCCAGGCGCCCCGTGAGTGGCACGACACGCTCAGGACGACTCTTGCTGCTCTTGGTTTTGCTCCTTCCACTGCTGACCCTTCTCTTTTTCTACGCACTGACGCTACTCTGCCGCCGTTCTACGTTCTTGTGTACGTAGACGACCTTGTCTTTGCTACTGCTGACACGGAGGCACTCGCCCACGTGAAGTCCGAGCTGCAGAAGAGACACACGTGCACAGACCTGGGTGAGCTGACAAGCTATCTTGGCTTGCGGATCACCCGGGACAGAGCACAGCGCACCATTACCTTGACTCAGTCACACATGGTGCAGCAGGTCCTTCAGCGCTTCGGCTTCACCTACTCCTCGCCACAGTCCACTCCTCTGCCTACCGGTCACTCGCTCTCAGCTCCACCTTCGGACGAGTCCGTAGAGCCAAGTGGCCCGTATCCAGAGCTTGTGGGCTGCCTCATGTACCTGATGACTTGCACACGACCTGACCTCGCATACCCTCTCAGCCTTCTGGCTTGCTACGTGGCTCCCGGCAGGCACCGAAAGGTGCACTGGGATGCTGCGAAGAGGGTGTTGCGATACTTGTGCAGTACATCGGGCATGGGGCTTGTGCTTGGAGGACGGGCTCGAGTTGTCCTCACTGGTCACGCTGACGCCTCCTGGGTTGACGACTTGACTACGCAGCGGTCGTCACAGGGTTACACCTTCAGCCTTGGCTCCGGTTCTGTCTCCTGGCGGTCTACCCGCTCTTCTTCTGTTCTCAGCTCCAGTTGCGAGGCTGAGATCTACGCTGGGGCCATGGCTGCACAAGAGCTTCGCTGGCTCACCTACCTGCTGACCGACTTGGGAGAGGCGCCTCGTTCTCCTCCAGTTCTGTACGTCGACAACAAGGCCATGCTGGCCTTGTGTCAGGAGCACAGACTGGAGCACAGAATGAAGCACATTGCTCTGCGCTACTTCCTTGCTCGAGAGTTGCAGCAGCGTGGCCAGCTTCGTCTTGCTTACGTGGCCTCTCAGGCCAACACTGCTGATGTTTTCACCAAGGCACTTCAGCCTTGTGATCATCAGCGTTTCTCTACTGTGTTAGGCCTTGTACCTACTGTGCCTCACTTGTTGACTTCTTGACTCTGCTTGTACTGTACTCTATATACTTATACCTGCATGCTTACACTTGCTAGGTTGTGTTCACTGTATTGTTTGCTTTCCTTTATATAACTCTGCATGTGAACTGGCCTTCTGGCCCTTTGCTTGTGCTCAGACTGTGTGGTGACTTTGTGTTCCACCGTGAGTTTGCTTTGTCTTTCTTGACTGGTCTTGTGACCCCTTGTTCTCCCCCACTTTGCCTATGGGGGTGTGTCAAACATATACTTACTATAGTCTGTTTAGGCTGTAGTGGGGTAGTCCTTAGAGGGTACAACACTTATGTGTTTCCTACTTGTACGCTTCTCATTTCCTAATTCAATCATTCTTTCGTCTATTCTTTCTCAAGTCCTACTGTCACGCGTTTTCTAGCCATTGCTGTCACTGACCCTTCATTTGAGTCCACTTCTGCGTCTGCTCTAGTTGCTGAGCTTGTTAACTTTGCTGCCGCCTGTCGTCTAGACTACGCTGCTAGTCTTGTTGCTGAGTCTGAGTCTGCGTCTGTTTGTCCTCCGTCCGTCGGGGGTGAGTGTGCTCTTAGGACGGACGTCCTTGAGGATAGACAGGAGGAGTTTGAGTGCTTTGCCGCTGCTTTACCTCATCTCGTGTCCATGCTGCTTGCCCCTGAGGGAGACCCGGATGCACCAGACATCCCGACCCCGCGCTCTTACGCAGAGGCGATAGAGGGTCCTTACTCCTCTCAGTGGCAAACAGCCATGGACACAGAGATGGCTTCCTGGAAGTCCACAGGCACCTACATCGACGAGGTTCCCCCGCCTGGGGCGAACATCGTCAGTGGCATGTGGATTTTCAGGGTGAAGCGGCCGCCGGGTTCTCCGCCTGTCTTCAAGGCGCGTTACGTTGCACGAGGCTTCAGTCAACGACAGGGAGTTGACTTCTTCCAGACCTTCTCCCCTACCCCAAAGATGACCACTCTTCGGGTGCTGCTGCACGTCGCCGCTCAGCGTGACTACGAGCTACACTCTCTTGACTTCAGCACAGCCTTCCTACAGGGCAGCCTGCACGAGGAGATCTGGCTACGCCGCCCACCTGGCTTCACTGGGTCGTTTCCTGTTGGTACCCAATGGAGCCTCCGGCGGCCAGTCTACGGTCTCCGCCAAGCACCCTGTGAGTGGCATGACACACTGAGGACGACTCTTGCTGCTCTTGGGTTTGCTCCTTCCACTGCTGACCCGTCGCTGTTTCTTCGCACTGACACCACTCTGCCGCCGTTCTAAGTTCTCGTGTACGTAGACGACTTAGTCTTTGCAACTGCTGACACTGAGGCACTCGCCCACGTGAAGTTGGAGCTGCAGAAGAGACACACATGCACAGACCTGGGTGAGCTGACAAGCTATCTTGGCTTGCGGATCACCCGGGACAGAGCACAGCGCACCATTACCTTGACTCAGTCACACATGGTGCAGAAGGTCCTTCAGCGCTTCGGCTTCACATACTCCTCGCCACAGTCCACTCCTCTGCCTACCGGTCACTCACTCTCAGCTCCACCTTCGGACGAGTCCGTAGAGCCGAGTGGCCCGTATCTAGAGCTTGTGGGCTGCCTCATGTACCTGATGACCTGCACTCGACCTGACCTTGCCTACTCTCTTAGCATTCTAGCACGCTATGTCGCTCCTGGCAGACACATGAAGGAGCACATGGATGCAGCTAAGAGGGTGTTGCGTTACTTGTGCAGTACATCGGGCATGGGGCTCGTGCTTGGAGGACGGGCTCGAGTTGTCCTCACTGGTCATGCAGACGCTTCCTGGGTTGACGACTTGGCTACGCAGCGGTCGTCACAGGGTTACACCTTCAGCCTTGGCTCCGGCTCTGTCTCTTGGCGGTCTACCCGCTCGTCTTCTGTTCTCAGCTCCAGTTGTGAGGCTGAGGTCTACGCTGGGGCCATGGTTGCACAGGAGTTACGCTGGCTCACCTACCTGCTGACCGACTTGGGAGAGGCGCCTCGTTCTCCTCCAGTTCTGTACGTCGACAACAAGGCCATGCTTGCCTTGTGTCAGGAGTACAAACTGGAGCACAGAACGAATCACATTGCTCTGCGCTACTTCCTTGCTCGAGAGTTGCAGCAGCGTGGTCAGCTTCGTCTTGCTTACGTGGCCACTCAAGCCAACACTGCTGATATCTTTACCAAGGCACGTCAGCCTTGTGATCATCAGCGCTTTTGTACTATGCTAGGTCTTGTGCCTACTTGGCCTCACTTGCTCACTTCTTTACTCTGCTTGTACTGTGATCTCTATACATATACCTGCATGCTTACACTTGCTAGGTTGTGTTCACTGTATTGCTTGCTTTCCTTTATATAACTCTGCATGTGAACTGGCCTTGTGGCCATTTGCTTGTGCTCAGAAGGCGTGGTGACGTCGTGATCCACCCTGAGCTTGCTTTGCCTTTCTTTACCAGTCTTGTGACCTCTTGTTCTCCCCCACTTTGCCTTTGGGGGTGTGTCAAACTCATATACTATAGTCTGTCTAGGCTGTAGTGGGGTAGTTCATATAGGGTACAACACTTTTAGGTTTCCTACTTGTACCCACCTGCTTGCTAATTCATTCATTCCTTTCTTCACTATTCTGACAATAGTGTCCGTGTATTTTGCAGCGCTGAGGTAGATTGCATTGTCGCCGTCTTGGATGTTCAGTCCTAGGTACTGTGTCACGGTAGTTGCGACGGTGAGAGTGAGATCCTGTTGCAACTCCCCTTCAAACCATGTCGTTATGGCGTCGGTGGAGCCTATGTAGAGGAGCTCATCGACGTAGACGATGAGTAGAATGTAGTCGGTGCCCTTCGTCACTCGATACATTCCTTGGTCGTGTGGTAGTTGAAGGAATCCGATGCGGATTAGGCGGGCGTGAAGGTGCTGCTGCCACAGTCTCGGGGCTTGTTTGATCCCGTACAGCAATTTCTCCAGCTAACAGATTTTGTTTGGGCCTGCGTTGGACCCGTGCGGGAGTTCGACGAAAATCTCAGCGTCGACGGGGGCGTAGAGGAAGGCATTGGCGACATCGATTTGCCGAAGCTTCTTCCGGTTCATGGCGGCTATCGCGAGGAGAATCCGCAGTGAGGTATGTCGGCTTACTGGGGCGAATGTTTCTGTGAAGTCTCGCCCTTGCACGCTGTGAAAGCATGGAAAGCGGAGTTTGGCATCAAAACCCAATTGAGTGTCGCAGATACACCGCAGCAGAATGGGGTCGTGGAGAGGTGGCACAGGACGATGGCAGAGGGGATTCGCACATTGTTGGTCGACAGTGGTCTCCCTGCTCGCTTGTGGGGTGAAGCATTGATGTGGGTCGTGTGGGTTAAGAACAGGGTCACCCACAGTGCTTTGCCTGCCTCCATCACACCAATGGAGGCGTGGTCCGGCCAAAAGCCGCATGTGGGCATGGCTCGGATTTGGGGTTGCATGGGGAGTGTCATGCTGCATGGGCATGAGAAGGGTGGCAAGCTTGATGCACGGGCTGTCATGTGTGTCTGTGTTGGGGTGGATATGGAGAGCAAGGGTTGGCGCATGCTGGACCCTTCTCTCATGCGCATTCGCATTGCTCGGGATGTTGATTTTCTTGAGAATGTGATGTGGAAGGATTGGGACAAGGCAAATGGATTTGGGGAGCTTCTGCAGGATGCAGCTGCGATTTCCCAACTCCTCCCTCTTCCACTCTCGCCACCCTCAGCAACGGCCACCGACACCGCTGAGTGTGTCGGTGCAGCAGCAGCCCACCCCTCTGCAGCAGCTCAGTGGCCCCTCGGTCATTCAGCGGAGATCCGCTACACATGCTACTTCCTCTTCCTCCTCCTCTGGTCAGCGCTCTGTCCCTCTCTCTACGGGTGCCCCTCCGTCACCAGCGACTACCTCCCCACCACCGGTTACGGGTTTGCAGGTGCTTGGTATCCAGTCTGGTACAGGTGGTGAGGAGGTAGGGGGGGATGCTGGTGTGGTTGAGGGCATGCTCTGTTTGGCCAAGGAGGTGGAAGGTGTTGCACTGGCAGGTGTGAGCACCGGTGATGTCCCACGCACACTCGCTGAGGCCCTGCGTGGCCCTGAGGGCCCTGCGTGGAAGGCAGGCGCTGAGAAGGAGGTAAATGCAATGCGCACTATGGGTGTATGGGATCCAGAGCCGGTCGACTTACCTCCAGGTAAGAAGGCCATTGGGGTCAGGTACGTTTTCCGCAGGAAAACTGACAAGGAGGATAAGGTGGTACAGCACAAGGTTCGCCTTGTTGCTAAGGGGTACACTCAAGAGCCCGAGAAGGACTATGATCAGGTATTTGCCCCTGTGGGCAAGCTCACCTCAGGTCGGGTGCTTCTTGCAGAAGCCGCGGTAAAAGGGTGGCATGTACAACAGGAGGATGTTGATCATGCTTACCTCGATGCAGTCCTTCAAGAGGAGGTGTATGTGAGGCAACCTAAGGGATTTGATGATGGTACAGGTAGGGTGTATCGCTTGCGCAAAGCTCTCTATGGGCTCAAGCAAGCGCCTCGTGCTTGGAATGAGGAGATTGGTACCACCCTGATTGCAGCAGGGTTTGACCGCAGTGCATGTGATGAGGCTCTGTACATCAGGTTTGTGGATGAAGAGCCAGTGTATGTATTGGTGTATGTGGATGACCTCTTGCTTGTGTCTCCACGCTTGGAGCTGATCGGTCAGGTCAAAGAGGTGCTTGCTCAGAGGTACCAGATGAAGGATCTAGGTGAGGTATCCACGTACCTTGGTGTGGAGGTTCGCAGGTCGGTCAAGGATGGGTGGTTGGAGATTGGTCAGGAGAAGTATGTCCGTGGTCTCCAGGGAAGGTTTGGTGATCTGCTGAAGGAGACCCATAGGGTGCATACTCCAATGTCACCCAATGATCTCTCTAAGATCAGGAATGGTACTTGGTCGACTGAGGAAAGTGTTGCAGCTGATGTCAAGGTGTACCAGAGTCTCATTGGCAACTTGATGTATGCTGCTGTGACCACCCGTCCTGACATGTCTTTCACTGTCAACACCCTTGCACAGTCCTGCGTGGCACCAACACGCATTCACATGCGCGCTGTACTGAGAGCACTCAGGTACTTGGTCGACACAGCTGATCGTGTCATCAGGTATGAGCGCCAAGGTGGTGAGCAGGTTGTTGGGTACACAGACTCGGATTGGGGTGGTGAGACTGATGGCAAGAGTCGCTCTGCCTACATCTTTAAGTTGGGAGGAGGAGCAATCAGCTGGTATAGCAAAAAGCAAGACAGTGTTGCAGCAAGCGTTTCTGAAGCTGAGTACAAAGCTCTATCGGAGGGGGCCAAGGAGGCGATTTGGTTGAGGAGTTTGTTGGCAGAGATGCATGTGGGGGATGGGGGGGCTATTCCATTGCTCTGTGATGATGAGGCTGCTGTCTCCCTTGCCCACAATCCCGTTCTCCATCAGCGCACCAAACAAATTAAGGTGGCATGGCACTTTGTACAGGATGCGGTGCGCCAGCAGGAGGTCGAGGTGCACTCAGTACGCTCCCACCTCCAGGATGCCGACATGCTCACCAAAGCTCGTCCAAGCTTGCAGCTGCATGAGAACTTGGAGCGCATCGGCATGCGAGTGATGGTTGCGAAGGCCAAGGCTTCATTCGCTGGAGGGGTTGTGTTTTGATTTATGGGTGAACTTTAATGCTTATTGGAGCAAGGGGGGGTGTTGGAATTAAGGTTATTTCGGGTTGCTCCAATAAACATATGTAGTGATACATCTACACTATAGTAGTGTAGAATACATTGGTTGGGTTGGGAGAACTTGTGGTGTACACTCTATAGAGTGGATCACCACCCAAACCCTATAGGTTAGGGTTCTCTCTTGTTGGAACTTCACTTCTTGGAAACCACTTTGGTTCTAGCATGGTTCATGCCCAAGTGGGCTCCTAAGATTCCTAGGCTTTAGGAGGAAGTTCTAAGACTACTAAAGCTTCCGCTAGTAGCTTAGTCCATTCTAACACTTATATTGTGTAGACTGTAGTGGGGTAACTCATAAGGGGTACAACCCAGTTAGGGTTAATACTTGTACCAACTTTTTGCTCAATGCATTAATTCTCGTTCAGTATTCTAACATGGTATCAGAGCAGGTCTTGTTCCAGGACAGTTTTTCTTTTAGGGCCCACCGCATAGTTCCCTGCTCGTCGCGCCGCCCCACTAGTCGCACTGCCCTGCCCTGCCCGTCGCGCTGCCCTGCTGGTCGCACGCCGCCCCCCCTTGCCTGTCGCGTCGCCCTGCTAGCCGCCGCGTCACCCTGCCCTGCCCGCGCGCCGCCCTGCTGGCCGCCGCGCCGCCCTGCTATGCCTGCGCGTCGCCCTGCCCTGCCCGCGCATTGCACTGCTGGCAGCCGCGCCGCCCTGCCCTGCCTGCGTGTCGCCCTGCCCTGCTTGCACGCCGCCCTGCTGCCCGCGCGCCGCACTACTGCCCGCGCGCCGCCCTGCTGGCTGCCAAGCCGCCCTGCCCTGCCCGCGCGCCGCCTTGCTGGCCGCCGCACCTCCCTGCCCTGCCCGCGCGCCGCTCTGCTGGCCGCCGCCCTGCCCTGCCATTTGCGTTGCCCTGCCCTACCCGCGTGCCGCTCTTCTCTAGCAGTGCACCGCCTCGCCATGCCCTGCGCACTTCCCTAGTGCCCGCGCGCCGCCCTGCCTGCGTACTGCCCTGCTAGTCGCGCGCCACCCTGCTCTGCCCGCTATGGCTTCTCTCAGTGTTCTCACCTTCGATCATGAGGGCCGTCCGATCCAGTTCGATACGTGGCTCGACGACTTACAGCTGTACCTACTGAGCGATTCTAGAGACAGCGTTTTGTTGTTTGACCACACATCCGGAGCCTCTCTCGCCCCTCCCGCCACAGCTGACAGTGCGACTCGCTCACAGTGGCTTACCCGTGACGCTGCTGCTCGCTTAGCCGTTTGCAACCATCTGCCATTAGCCGAACGTGCTCACTTTGGCGAGCACAAGACTGCTAAAGCCCTGTACGACACTGTAGTCGCTCGTTACTCTTCCCCTACCACTGCTGCTCTCGGCCGCCTTATACTGCCCTACCTTTTTCCCGAGCTGTCACCCTTTGCCACAGTCGAGGACCTTATTACCCACCTTCGCACTAACGACACTCGCTACCGCGCTGCACTCCCAGCTGAGTTCCTAGACAAGAACCCCCCCCCCCCCCGATGTACATCTCAACTCATAGTCACCCGCCTCCCTGACTCTCTTCGCGCAGTCAGGGACCAATTTCTCGCACTTGACCCCACAGAACTCACTGTCAACCTGCTCGAAAAGCACCTCCTTGCAGCTGAGTCTAGCATAGTCGCTGTAGGTGCTGCTCGTGGCACTCCTCGCACACCCTTCCTTGAGGGGTGTTCCCCCTTCCCCCTTGCCCCCTCCTATGCTTCTGCTGCTGCTATTGACATCCTTGGTACTGAGGACATCGGGGCTGCTTCTGCTCTTAGTGGGAAGCGCCGCAGCAGCAATGGCAAGGGTGGCAAGAGTGGTGGCAGTGGCAGCGGGGGTGGTGGTGGTGGAGGCGGTGGAGGCGGTGGAGGTGGCAGAGGTGGCGGGCGGGAGTGGGGGCTTTTGTGGTGGCGGTGGTGGCAGCAGTGGGAGTGGTAGTGGCGATGGTGGCGGCAGTGGGAGTGGTGGCGGCGGCAGTGGTGGCGGTCGGGGTGGAGCAGAGGCAGCAGCAGCAGCGTCCGAGCGAGACCCCTACGCCCCAGCAGCTTCGTGAGTGGTTTGCTCAGCGTGGGGCGTCTAGGGGTAGTGTTCGCTGCCCGTATGTCATTCGCACAGGTGACCGCGCTGGTCAGACATGCGGGAAGTTTCACACCCTGCACCGCTGCTTCTCCCGCCTTGACGACGCTTGGCGCGCAGAGTTTGGCGACGAGGCTGAGCGCCCCCGCTGGCTAGAGCTGCTTAGGTCTGGTGTTGATATCTTTGCTCTTGACTATGATGCTATCCTTGCTGCCATGTATGCCTTGACTGTTATTGCTGAGGGTGACTGTTACCTGTGTGTGCCGCCCGACCCAGGTATAGAGGCTGCTGCTCTAGGTGCTAGTGAGTCTGCTCTCCCTGGTACTGCGCCTGCTGAGGCCTTGCACACCTTCACGCTTGACTCATGTGCTTCCCTCTGATTCTTGCGCGACAGTACCACACTCACTCCACTCCCTGCACCTGTTCCAGTCAGACTAGCTGACCCCTCAGAGGGCCCAGTTCTTGCACGTTCCACCACTGTTCTCCCGTGTCCGGCGGTTCCGTCTGGCTCACAGTGTCACGCTGCCCTGCAACTTCTCGCACTGCCTGCCCTAGCGCGCTGCCCTGCTGGCACGCGCGCCCCTGCTGCCCGCGAGCAGCCCTTGCCCCGCGCGCTCCTGCTGCCCGCGAGCAGCCCCTGCCCCAAGCGCCATTGCTGCCCGCGAGCAGCCCCTGCCCCGCGCGCCACTGCTGCCCGCGAGCAGCCCCTGACCCGAGCGCCCCTGCTGCCCGCGAGCAGCCCCTGCCCTGCACACCCCTTCTGCTTGCGAGTAAACCCGCAGCCCAGCGCGCCCCGCAGCCCTAAACGCGCCAGCGCGCCCCGCTGCTAAACGCGCCAGCACGCCCCGCAGCCCAGCGCGCCAGCGCGCCCCGCTGCTAAGCACGCCAGCGCGTCCCGCAGCCTAGTGCGCCAGCGCGCCCCACTGCGAAACACGCCAGTGCGCCCCGCTACTAAGCGCGCCAGCGCGCCCCGCTACTAAGCGCGCCAGCGCGCCCCACAACCCTAAATAATAATAAGTAAAAAAAAAAAAAAAAAAAAAAAACATGGGCGCCTTGCTGCCCTGCGCGCTGCTGCTGCACACGCTGCTACTGCTACGCTGTGCCCTGCTGAGCAGCGCTGCCCAAGGCGAGCCGCGCCGCCCAGCCCGAGCCACCCTCCTGCTACTACTGCTGCTGCTGCTGCTCGTGCTACTGCTGCTGCTGGTGGAGGTGCTGCTGGGAGTGCTGGAGGAGCCGCCGCCCAGCCCCACCGAGCCGCCCCGCTGCTACTACTGCTGCTGCTGCTGCTGCTCGTGCTACTGCCGCTGCTGGTGGAGGTGCGGCTGGGAGTACTGGAGGTGCTGGACCTACTACT